GAGACCGGTCCTTGGAGAAGGACATCATGCTTGGGAGGGTGGAGGGACAGTGCAGGAGGGGAAGGCCCTGTATGAGGTGGATTGATTCAGTGACTGGGGTAATCGGGATGGGAGTGTCAGATACAGTGCAATTGGCACAGGACAGAACAGAATTTAGGGCTGTTGTACATAGGGTCGCTATAAGTCGCAAGTGACTCGAAGGCACATAACAACAACAACAGTCTTGTTTTTGCTTTGTGCCATTGAGTCGTCTGTGACTCATAGTGACTTGTGTACATTAGCTTTGAAACCTGCCTTCCCCTGAGCCATTCTCATCATCTCTGACAGATCTAATCCCATTTCTCCAGTCACTATGTCAGTCCATCTCATCCAGGGTCTTCCTCTCTTGCACTGTTCCTCCACCCTTCCAAGCATGATGAGCCTCTGCAAGGACTGGTCCCTCCTGGTCACGTGCCCAAAGTATATGAGACAGAGCCTCAGAATCCTTGCCTCCAGGAAGCATCCAGATTTCACCATCTCCAGGACAGACCTGTTTGTTCTGACAGTCCACAGTATGTCCAATAATCGCTACTTTCCAAGCTTTTTCTGATAAATGGGCAAGAAGCCGTTGAGCTGGCAGGTGTATAAATCATATAATGATCTATATGTGGCCTTAGGGTCATTTTCTTGAAATGTTCTCATAGAACTCTGATGACCTCGTGGTAAGGAAGGAACTGGACTACCAACTCAAAGCCATGTGGTTCAAATCCACCAGCAGCTCTGCAGGAGAAAGGTGGATGGTCTCCCATGTGATTTACTGCCTCTGAAAACCCGTGGAGGGTCACCTATGAGTCGGTTCTTATCCTGGCACATAACAACCTAGAAAGCCCTGCACTGGTTGAGGTCGTCATCTGGGAGGACATAATATAACCCAGGACCACGCGTCCTGCTAGCCGCTGGCAATGACGGTGATTGCACTGTTGTGGTGTTGTGTGCCATCTAGTGAGAACTGATTCAGTTCATCCTCCAGCGGGTTTTCAAGGGCAGTAAATTGCATGGGAGGAGATTGTCCATCCTTGTTCCAGATGATTGCTGTAAAGAGGGAAAAGTAGTATATGCAGATGTATTCTGTGGAGACTCTTAGTA